CACGACGAAAGTAAGATTAGTTCGCGTAAAACCTAATGCTAAATATCGATATTACATTTGAAAAATTTAATTAACAGGACACGATAGCTTTGCACGGAAAACAACATAGAAAACAGCAAATATCTTGGCATCATTCCGTAATATTTACTAGAATTTCAAAATGCCTACATTTGCCGAGAATATATTTTCCCACTGTAAATGGAAGTGAAAAGTACAGGGTACCAAATCTCTAATACCTTGGAAACCGTACGTGAGCAATAATCGATATGTGAATCGTTAGAAATTTACTTGATTCTGTTGTTTATGATCGATAGAGCCTTAGAACGCTGTCCTCTTATTCTTTGGCATTCGTTTCTAACTAACGAATTGTGTTTTTGTTGTTAAGAAGTGATCTAGATATAAATGACATCGTACTCTAGGCAAAACAGTTGCAGATTGTGCGTCTATTTTTTTGTAAAGTTCTACGTCTCTTTGCCAGCAAGGGACAGTTAACGAGTGAACTGTATCCGACGTATACGTCGGAAGTCGTTAGGCATCGTTACGTAAGGCCTTTGTTCCGACAACAAAGCTCGAAACTGTTCGCGTCAGCATTTTGCCAGGAAGGTGTGATAAAATCCAAGTGGCCACTTCAAATTTCCATAGAAAATACTCTGACTGCATTTTAAACAATACTGTGATCCGTTATTGGACGCTCTCACCCTTGGTCGATTTTCCACGTAGAAGTAATGTTGCCAGCTCTCAGAGATTTGATATTACAACGAATACATATAGTATAATCCTAAAGAGATTAGTACTCATCGCTTTTCATCACAATATAGGCCCAGTCTGCGCCCCCGGTGACCTCCCTAAGCTGATTCATTCTCCTAACCTACAGATACTTTGTAAACGCTCTTATATATAGAATAGTAAAATATGTCTCAACTAATATATATCATTGTTATCTCAGTCACATTGTTACAGTTGAACGCCAGTTAACACACGGCAAACGTCGCACTTTTCTCGGGCACCAACGTGCTACAGCGTGAAACAGGGGTGTCCATTTGTACTACGCGTTTTGTGCCCTCCTTTCAGTTCGAGAAAATCTGCGGCTTGCTAAGGCTATTATCTGTTTTCTAGCGGTGCATGTCAATCCCACCTTGGCATCGTTTTTTGGCAGAACGTTTACCTCTGCAATAACTAACAAGGCCTTGTTTTTTGGTCGAAAATCAATTTTATATTTTGAGCTATACATGTAGTTTGCCTGGTAAACCTCTCCTTAGAAAAATCAAGCGTAGATATGTTTGAAAAACTGATGCGTACATTTGGAAGTGGCAAGCAGTGGTAATAACAATCTGAAAAATAAGACGCCGTACTTGTTACCCACAAGTTAGGTAACACCGTAATGCGTAATATTACAGATAGAGACACAAATAACATGCGTGTAACAGTAAGTACGTGAAGCTGAAAAGATATCAGCTAGCGAGTAGACTTGCATGTATATACCATGCGTTTACATGTCTCTGCCAACCCGTCCGCCAGTACGTATTGCTGAGATGTTAGGCTGTAATTAGACAATCAGATGAATTTAATTTTCTTGAATGAAATATGTAATATCAGGTTAGGAGACTTAGGTTAGGAGTAAGAGCACGAAGTAACCTCATTTATCAGACCCAGCGACGGGCCAGATAGCTTGTCTGCAAATCCTTCAGAGCGATGAAAAAAATCAATAGAAGGTGCATGCTAGATTTAAAAATTCGTTTCCGTTAACAGCTAGATTCCATCTAAATCGAATAAGTCATGTATATCGCGCTCTGAGAGATCTGAATCTACACATACGGATCTGTACTTCCCACGCGGGGATCTCTCGTTTGTAATCCTCTAGAAAATTGTGTCTTGTGCATCGTTTAGGTTTCGTTATGGCAGGGCTGCAGAGGTGAAGTCTCTACCTTGAACATGTCCCAAAGTTGAGGTGACCGAGCCCATAAGAGGTTCAACTAATTTCGTAAGCTACTTTTCTGTTTACTGCTTGGTGTATCGCTTATGCGAAGCGCATGCAACTTCCCATAAGATATTTCCGCTTGTCACTCGAACAGGTATTTCCATTAAGTTGAGTTAAAAATTTTGCTTTGCCTGATCGAACGTTTGAATAAATTTTTCTAACCGTACCTTGACCGGTTTTGTGATAGGTAATGGTTTATAGCACACAATATTGATAGAGTTAGTCCGTTGGATAACAAAATGTTTACCTCTACCCTAGTTTTTTTTTTTTTTTTTATTAAAAAATACCTATAAATCAACCTAGGCAAACTGTATTCTAATCTAGCGAAAAACTTACGTTGATTTATTTCCATAATAGGACACAGTTACCCTTTTCACATCGGCGGCTAGATTTGGCAATCGGCTGATGCTGCCATAAAAACCCTTCATTTTGCATTACCCTCACCTGAAAGTATCAATTTTAAAAAAAGCATATGCTGCATTTCTGCTCGCCCCATTGAGACCTATCGCTTAACGTTGAGAAACTGGCGCCTTACATGATTTGTACTTAAACGAAGATCGTCATATAGAATGAGGGTGCTCAGCATAAGCTCCCATGTAAATATTCGGCCGTCACTGTGAGAGAAAAAATCATCTTCTAAATCCAACCATAATATTAACTATTTTTACATAGACACCTATAAGCGATTTATGAAAAAAGAAACGACTAACAGGGCCGAATTTAAAAACGTCCTGAAATTGAATAGGCATCGAGGGCGCTAGTAAATATATTCTAGACGAGTACAAATCGCTGCTATTTATCTATTTGGGTACCTAATCTTATGGTAGGAAAATGAAACATAGGGTTTTGCTATAGCAGCGTAAACATACGCACAAATGAGTGTTTTGTGTTGTAAGAGTTTCTAAAAGACGACACGCAAATGTATCCTCGAACCGCTATCTGATTGATATTGATCAGCAAATGATAACAGCATCTTACGTTACAGTGATTCACATTATCAATCTTTTATAATATTTATTATCTAACTTTATTTTTCAATGGTTGTCATTTATTGGCGTCGCTATTTGACTTGAACTTCTTCGACTAGTTTAACGCCTTAAAAATTGCGTAACTTAAGCTAGTGAAGAGTGATTAATCTTCCAACACTGGCCGGCTTCCTCACCTCAGTATTTACTAATTCTATTAAAAAGCTTTACATAAACTTGCTTAACATAAACCCGATCTGCGGAAACAATGTATAATGTAACGAAAAAATGTATAAACTACGATTAGCAGCTCTCTGCCATGAATATCGTAAGCAAGGCATGTCTAAACTCCGTAATAGTCATAACAACGATAGTAATTCAGCATCGATTGTATTAAATAGCGACCCATATAAAATGCAACAGCGATCAGGTCCGAACCGTCTGAGCAACTGACCCATTCACGGGTTTGTTCACTATAGGAAAATTCTATTGAACAATACAACAGCCGGTCAGAGCAGTATGTGTAAAGCCCAATCGCCCCCAGGGCAAAGTAAAATTTGCAGAATGAGTAAACTACAGGACCGAAAACATCGTAGTCATTAACACAATAAAACGGTCCGCCCCAGAAGCAAGAAAAAGATATTTAATACTATGCATATCGGTTTCCATCATTCGTTGGCCAACATTTGGCCTCGTTCTAGATTACTCATAGGTATTTATTGTTAACTGATAGATGAAGATTGTTGTGAAGTCAATCGAAATCGCTTCATTATTTGAAAAAAAACCTACCTATGTGTGCTAACAAGCTAGTTATCGGCCACAGGACATAGACGTCAAGCTTTAGGTCAGTACAGCGTAAATGCCGACCTTGCGCTAGTTCTCGTGAACGCGTTAGTGTACACTCAACGTTACTTCTTGAAGTTCGTCTCATAAAGCGGAGTTCTGGCGAGTTAGGATTTCGACTCTAACCTTGTCAATAACTCCGAACGCCTCCCGAAATAGGTCAGTTTTCAGTTATGTCAGGAAGGAGGATTCTGAAGTTCAGTGTCTATCGATCGTCGACAACAAACACATTAATATTCCTATTTGGTGAGCAAATATCTGGATAGTACGGTGTCTTTTCGAACGCTTCTTTGGCACAGTCGACAAAGCTCTTTTGATTGCCAGTAGCCCATTTCCAACAGCAGCACAAAAGGTTTACTCTCCCTTTAGGAGGGAAAACCGTTTTCGATTTCGTAATAATCATTTACCAGTCCTCCGTATAGACAAATCAAACAGGTAAAGTACATCTTTTTGTTTCGTTACCCAGTGGAGTCATGTTATCGATAGGAATCAGTCTCCGTAACCTTTGGAAAACGACAGAATAATTGAACTTTGTTCATAAAACCTCGTAGAGACTACAACTTGATTTTCGTGCTTTGTGCTGCAAATGTTATGATAATGTTATTAAACATTATCTTATTATTACCCTATACATATCCTATTATATTATTATAGAGTAATGCTGTTGTCTGCTATCCCGAGATTTTAGGAGGTTCTATTATCTTTATACCTGGCTAATATTCGAATACTCTATTAAAGAGCTTTACATAAACTTGCTAGAACACCCGATCCGATGTATAATGTAACGAACAAATGTATAATATAAACGAAACTACGAGTAGCAGCTCTCTGCCACGAATATCGTAGCCGCTGGCTTAATCAGTACTACAGTACTGCAATAAATCCGTTTTTCTCTAACAGACATTTTCTCGTCAAGAGAATTTACATCTGAGACCGGACCGCAAATATCACGCTGAGTTAGAAGTTGAATAGGTTTCGAAACTTGAGTCCGTCTAAACTGGGACGGTCGTTGTAAGATGCGATCTAACTATAAGCCAGTTATTATTATGTTTATAACATTATTGATAAAACAAACATGTTTTATCGAAGGCGGAATAAGCTCTCAATGAAATTGGAATGACAAATAGTTAATATTGGCGCCAAGAATTTTCAAATTGATGAAAATCTTTATCATAAGCTAGCGTAGCGACTTTCTCAAATACGCATCAAGGGACACTTGCTCAAAACGTACCCACTCCTATCTAAATAGAATTTTGGTCTATTTCTTTCTCAGCTATACGCTGGTCGGTCTTGCATTGCAAAACATTGCTTAGGTGCGAGCTGCGCATTCGACCCTATTTTTTCTTTCATACAAAAATTTTCCAGTCACTCCCAGCTGTGTAGTAATTATGTACTTGTCTGCTGTTGCAACCGATTCCTAGAATGCCAGCAGACGATACATGAAGCTTTCCCATCATTTGTACTTAGATAGCTAATCGAAATTGAGCCACAAACAGTTCCCGAGAAGTCGTCCCCTCAGATTATACAAAAGTATTTGAGCTGTTTTCAGATCTATGACTGTTTTAGCTAAAACAACAATAGACATGCGCAATAATCTGTTCTCTGTTGTATCATAACGAAATGCGCCGACTTACATCTGCAAACAGCCGATCGTGTCGCCTACGGGTGGGCGCAACGTTTTTATGAGGTGTGAAGGCTGAGAGAAGCTGGCTGGTATCGCTGATCGGTCACTGGAGCTGCTTTCAGTGATGAAGTGCCTTACCGCAGTAGGCGTAGGTGTCGCGGGCGACGGAAGCGCGGAAGAGCGAAACCTGCCATCTGGTGGCAGTTCGTAGATGTCGTTCATGTGTCACTTCACAGATCAGTAACAATCGAAGTGAGCCTGAAGCAGTTGTCATAGCGTTACGTAGAGACGGAACGAGTGACTGTGCCCCGTATCTCGGAACGTGATTAAATGGACTGATGAGGATGAGGATCTTTCGCTCTATCGATGAAAATCTCTAAGCTCTCGATTCGGAATCTTATTCGATAAGAAGCCCTACTTTTTTTTAGAGTGTCACTGTACCAGAGACTACCTGCCGTGATGGAACTACGCGTTTTACCTTACCACATCGTGTTCGTAAGTGAAATTCTTCATTGCGCCCAACTTGGTGGATTACAGTGATAAATGTATTTTAAGTAATGACACTAAGTGGTACGAAAGTAGATCATCGCCACTTGTCAAGTATAATAACTGAAAGGCGTCTTATCATGTTTACCAGCACAATATTTAGTAGACGTGCTGACAAGCATAGTTTACTCTTATATATATAGTATTCGTCGTATAGTATTCGTCCTTGAAGGATGTTGAATCAGGACACAAGCACCCAAAACGTTTTTCTACTAAAACAGTTTTCGCCTAAATCTTCCTTTCTTTTTAGGCCAGGCAGAGGGAGACTGAAACGTTTTTCCCGTGCGTCAAGCCCGTTGATAAATAAATGAACAGATATAAAAAGAAAAAGAATAATAAATGTTAAATTGCTCTAGAATGGGGAGCTTGAGCCCTGCTTAATTCCTATAAAACCTATGAAAAGAAGTTTCATATTTACTGATCACAAAAACAGTTAAAAAAAATGTGGCATATGGCCTACTGATAAGAGCAATAAGCATGCTAACGTCGAGCAGGTTACTAGCAACAAAACCCTTATACTCTAATACCATTTTGACTTGTTAGGTCTGCGTGGCTAATGCATTGGTTTTTAACCCTATAAAAATAGTTGATTACTTATAAGTGTTTGCAATAAAAAATAAACGACGACATGTCTGGGTGAGTGGGCGGACTGCAGACAATTCTGCCACGAAACCAGATCCCACAAAAATTGAATAATTTCAATGAATATAAGACCTCATCAAAAATTAGGTCATATCCTAGACTATTCGTTTGACTGTTGTTGCTCATATCACAGCTAATCTACTAGACTTTGGCCTCTGTGCGCCAATATGAAAAAAGTTTAAGTGATTTTATATTGCTCACGCCGAAGGATATAAATAGAGGCTGCTTGCCTACAAAATCGAGCGCGCACCCTATAACTTCCCGAGGTACCGTCTCAAAAAGACTCAAAAAGCCGGAAACAATGAGAGGCGTGACCGACCAGGAAAAATGTTTGTTTTTCGCTTTTACTTTTTGTCTCATTGAACTGTAGTATAAGTGGTATCCAAATAGTTCCAAAGAAAAAGCGGTGTCGTTTGCTTCCACAAGGAACGACTCATACACAAAATTCATGCGTCACCGGGTCTTCGCTTTAAGATAGAATTCTTGTTTGAGGTTGCGTAATGATTGAAAGGCGTTTAAATAATCGAATTCGGAGAACGTCTATTTGTTCAGTGCCGCACAGATCTGGCAGCTGAGTCATCTCAAATATTACGAAACGTCTTCTCAGAAGTCTGCCCGAACTCATTCCCCTTCGTCAGCTAATATCTCCTATTTTTCTCTTCTCGATAGATAACTTTCTGCACTGAGGCGGTCGTCGCAGAACGCGGTAATTATTGCCCACGGAGCTGCATTCGAGGCGTCCAACAGTTTCCCTTTAGCGAGATTTGTATCTGTAAGTATCCACTGAGTACATGTGATGGCTTGACGCGCGCATCATACTACCCGTTGTCCTCTAAGTAATCCAGAACTAGATTAAACAATAATAAAAAAATAGCATTGAAGTTGAAGTCGATTACCATCGTTGTCTCGACATCATGCGACGACGCTAAATGCGTCCTACAAAGTTAGTCGAAGAAGTCTTTGAGGAAACATTGCGCACATATTTGACCTTATCGTTTTAATCAGTTATGGAGGTTGATTGACCAGTACGGTAGCTGGACACTACATTCGGGGTGTCATCAATTCGAGTCGATCAAAAATGCATGTATACATCAGATCATTATTATTACTAGACTAATTAGCGCCGTATGTACCGTGAAGAAACCTCAGAACTGGAAAATGTATGGCATTTCAGACTGGAAATTGTCTGAGTGAACTATGCACATTCGTACTATGATTCCTTTTTTGCTAATATTATTTACCCAAAAAATATATCCCTTTAACTAAGATCATCATAAAAATGAGTAAATATCATAATCGTTAACAGATGAAGACCTTGCAACATTTGGGCGATGCCGTCCAACGCAAGCTAATACTAAATATTACAGTAGTACATATAGTAAAGACACAATTTACCATGCTATTCTATGGCTGTTCTTAATATTTATTGAACGTTTTTCGCTCACAAGCGATCTTCAATGCGCCAAATATCATACTGTGGTCTAATATAGTAGATGTGCCAGTTACGCGACCAATGTTTTTATTATGGATTCTTAGAACAAGAACAACTGATCTACATTCAGCCATTATAAGCTACACGGAGACAAGTTAAATAATAATGCTATTTACAGCTTGACATAATCGTTTAAAGGCTTTTACGAAAAAAAAAAAAATACAGAAAATCGTTTTCAAATATTCCCATTAGCCACCGCTTCCTGTCCTGTGTGATAGCCTGAAACGTCAATAGTTTCCGTATTAGGCTGAGTTTCATACATTGGAGTAAGCAATTTAAATAGCTAAGTTCTCGAGGGCTGCACATTCTTTTTGTGGTCGCTTCTGTTACTAGCGGCCAACGGGGCCTTTGACATTTATTGCGAAAGCTTGAAAAATAAAGAGTGGACTAAGTGCATCCAATTTTCTTTTTCAAATAGAGTTAGTTAGAATACGCCCGGCGGGTTCAAAGAAACAAAATCTGTGTAGCCTGAAGGTATATGTCAGAAAAGTTTAGGCTTTTTCAAAATCCGTAACCATTGCGATGTTTTTGTCTGTTTTTCCAAATTTTTCTTTTTGAACTTCGGTTGATGTGAGCTCGTATGACCATTATGGCCATGTTAAAGGGTAAATTGGGAAACGCCTTAATCTGATGTTGATTCAGCGAGATTTAATAGCTTTAGAAAATCGTTGTAGTCGAGGTGAGAACAAACATGTCCTGTTGTTCATTTTAAGGTCCCGAATACTGTCCGCTGTTTTGCTGCGCCGGCTACTATTATCATTCACCCGTCCACGGAATTTGTCCAATCACCTGTGGCTCGAAAAGTCGACCCATCTACACGGAATGTTGTCTTCCAGGAGGTGAGTTTTCATTGAAAAATGGTAGGCAGCGTTAATTTCTTTGTTGGACCAATTTGGTTATAGGTTTTGACTGCCATAAGTAGGCGCTGTGGGAGTGGTGACCGGATGCGTCAGTTTTACCTACTTTTTATAACAACGTCAGCAGGAAACTACGTTTAAAATTAAATTCAAAGCCAATATATATATATATATATATATATATATATATATATATATATATATATATATGTGTCGTGTAGAATTAAAGGTGTCGTTGTGTTGACGCATATTTAGGATTTACAGATCCAGCCTGTATTATAGCGCAAAAGAGGTGGTTCGATAGAAATACCCGTGGGGTGTGGTGGTGGCCAGCTGTGTTTAACCACACATCGTCAGGCTATGGAAAGCATTCAGGTGTACGCCGGATTCATGATAATCAATTAGGCGACTCAATAGGAAGAGAGCCGTTTACCACCTTGGCTCTTGTCAAACCCGGAAAAAACGAAAATTCATCGAAACTCTTGGTTTCGAACACAATCAATGAGGAAGCAAACAAAAAGGTTAAATAAACTTACATTTGTAAATGCCCTTACGAATTTTGGTAAAAGGTACTTTTGTACACATCTTATTATTGAACAGAGCAAAATGTATGGTGCTCAATGTTGCTAAATCAATTATATTCAATTAATGATTATAATACTTGATATCCTTTGGTGCACTACGTCGGTAAACCATGTGCGACACAGAGAATCCACATAAAAAGATTGTTAAAAATGATTTTGTGTACGGGATACTTCTTGCGAAAGATCCCAAATCGTACAGACAAGTCCATCTTTAAAGGAGGAAACACTTTCTTTTCCAAATGGATATTAATAGTGGACCAGATGAAAAAAGGTAACTACGAAATTGCTTTGGTGTCCTTGAATCAACTAACGTTGAGTCATTGCACGGATGCGATTCCTGATTTTGGTAGCAGAAGATACAAAGCAAAGCAAAAAAAAATTTCAGAAAATGATCAAAAATGTCAAATTTTAAGATTTCGTAGAGAACATGTCTAGAAAACCTTTGTATCTTTGAAAATTCATTTATTGAAAAATGTTTAACGGAGCAACCCCCTTAATATATAGCGTTTAATATTTGACGTTATATATTAAGGGGGCTGCTTATTATCGTATCGACTGAATACAATACTGTACAGCTGACAGTAGAATCTCTCCTCAAGCCATGCTATTCCGTACCAAAAGCAAAAAATATACTACGTGTCCTAATATGCACACAGTCCTACCATTGGTAGTGATTGAATCCACAAGAACAACTAGCGTTTTTCACTAATGTTTGTCTCCTTACAATGCACTCTAGTTTAGGTTAAAATCTATAAACAGTTTTGAAAAAAGTATATATAAGAATATATTTTCTTTTGGCAAATATAATGAAATATCTTACTAATGGAACAGCTAACCATATAAACTATCACTATGGATCGCCTGTTTCTTTTTCAAAGACCATAGCCTGAAATAATCAATCTCGAACAGCAGAGCCACGAACAATAACGGTTCCTAATAAATAGGATGACTCCAAATGCTTCAAAAATTCTAATCGAAAGAATGAAGAATAAGAAGATAATTAAATGAATGGCATATTGGGGTAACAAATTTATTTATCCAATTCATAACGTAGTACTAATAGTTGTTCGAAAGTAATGGCAATTATCAGCATTAAGTTAATTGATTGGCATTGTAAATCTTTCACTCAATAAAATGTATACCCCTCGTTATAGGCACTACGCAAAGAAGATGTAATAAACGAAGCTTGGCGTCTCCAGTTTGGTTCTTATTAACGTCTACTGAGAACTTTTTGCGCAGATCTTGGAACTTCATTATGTTCATTCAGTTTTTGTCATTTGGATTCTCTTGTGGAGCGTCCTTTTTTAGCGATGATGTACACGCTTGCAGATCAAGACGTATTCACTGCATCTGAAAAATCTGTTGGATCTGCGGAATAGCGGCAGTGCATAGAATTGCGCACAGCAACACTTTGATGTTAGTTCAGCTTTATATATGCTCTTCTAATCTAAGAGTGACGTTTAAGAGCATCCAGTACGCTCTTACCTAGTAGTTGATGCACACGAGCCATGCCACCGAAATGATAACGGATTGTGTATCGCCCGCTGACCAGTATCGGATGTGCCTCCAAACTTTGCCTAGTACACCGACACGTATTAGAAACCCTGCATTCACTGAAGCCCATTTCCTTTTTAAATTGTCGGTCCGAACTTTTAGTGAACAGAAAAACAAGTCGACAACGAATAAGGTAGTTGCCTACCATATCGAATGGCCGGGGTTAGCTTCCAGGTTTCTTACCCTCATCAAACATGCTGTATTCCAACAGCTATATATCCAGTCTCATTTTAGCGGTGCTAGACAGCATCAGTCTAAGCTTGCCGGGATGACTTCGTCATTTCTTCCTTCTAAGAACCTCTGAAGCAACAGAGGCCTCAATGGCTCGTCTGCTCGATATGCCGCATATGGATCTGACAGTTCGCTTCAGAGTTATTTTCGGCATATCAGGGCGATCGAGGAGGTCACCCTCTCGCTGTAACCTCATCAGAACCTTCGTTCTGCTCTTATGCTTTGCATCACCCAACCCCTAACACATGAGCAGAATGCGGATAACATCAACCTCTATTTCCTTGTCGCAGTGACAGCAAATTCCAAGTGGGACCTGACTAAACTTGTGTGGATACGACTGAAGGTCGTCGCGCGATAAAAAAACCTTGTATTCAAGAATAGTCCTCACCATCTAGGCAGTTGAACCGCTTTTCACATTTGGTATAAGGTCTCTAGCTCGAGCCCTAGGTTTGTTCACTGGGATTGCGGTCCGCTACGTTTGCCATCCTGCCAGGGCCACGTCTTGCTCTGTCTCCTTCATTTCATTCTGTTGCGCCTTACAGAGTTCTCGTCTCTTCTTAACCCAAGAAGTTCACGAGAGAGTTCCGGCCAGTACGGCCGCGCCCGTGCTCAGAGGCCTGAATAACTAGCATAGCCGTTATACACCGCACTTTTTTTAACCTAATCTGCGCCACTCTTATTTAGCTTATGATCTAGAACTAACTGAAATTTATCAACTCATATGAACGCTGAATATTTTCTGAGATGAGTCTTCTTAGCAACTCGTCACTTTTTCTTTAAGATATTAATGCCTTTTTTTAAATCTACAGTAATACGTAGTTCTAACTTAACTCAGCTTGAGTATAATCACGATGTTTGCCTGAACCTCACAATTCTAAAAGTGAAAAAGCATTTTCATCACAGAATATATCATGTGGATAGGAAATAGTCCTCTAACACAGCGTCAAAATCCTTATTTTAGAGCAATTAACATCAGCCAAAGTGATTTTCATGTTGGAACTTCCAGCAATACTCCAGGCGCTCTGAATAGTAAAAACATAAGCATGGACTTTGTTTAGGAAACAACAGAACGGTACCCGCCTTTCGAATGCCATCAGTTACTTATTCTACAGACAGGGTTTTTTCCTCTCTGCTGCCGAAGAGTACCTCTTGGTAATCAGCATAATGGCAACCTCGCATAAAACGCCTGTGTAGTCTATCGGTTAGATTTTGGTTTTGGCCTTAAAATGTATCTTAAAAAAACCGGTACTGGAACTCCTAATTAGAAGAGGGAGAACTCTTAGTCCGAAAGTTCTGGGAAAAAATCAGGAAGCCATGTTTAAGCAGAGGCTCCGTGTTTAAGCTCTTCCAGAAGCCTACTCAGACAGAGAGTACTGGTGACGCATGGGAGGAAAGATCACAACAAGGTTAATTAAAAGGTAAGAGAACCTTGCATTTTTTTTGAGAAACGCACGAATCAATCTTTTTTGCAAGAGAGTTTCAGCTCCTGATTGGGTCGGTAAACGAACAGCCTGCCACCTTGTTTGTTGTTTACGCATATTTTTTGGTATTTACAAATAATTTGCGACCGGTTATCTATAATAATTCCCTGTAAACCTGTTTGCGTACTACGTGAGTCTGTTTAACCGACAACGTAAACTTTGAACGCGAAATCGTGCTAAATCTTACGTAACCCATTGGCCTTTCGCAGCTTTTATGAGTTCGACAATGGCTTTGCGTAACAGTGGTATAGAATATCGGATACGCTAAACGTTTTTGGGCGCTATAGAAAACTAAAATAACAGATGTGAAACAGCCCAACTGTCTTTTGGAGAACCCTAACCCACCCTGTATGGGTGGGTACTTCAGAATGAAACGTAAAAAAAATTAAATCTCATATTGTGAAATGGCGCTATTTCATAAAGATGCAATGCTTGACGACACTCTTCTTTATTTTTACAGTGCCATCGTTTAAAAAGCCTGCTATTTAGACAAATGAGTCATTGAGTGTACCGTAATAAGCTATTAGCTGAAAAGGATGCGCCAACCAAATGAATGGATTTGTCGGGAGCTAAATAATGCTACCGAATGCCATGTGAATATGCCTCTTTGTTTACTGTGGCTGGTGTTTTCATGAGCGCGGAGAGTATTTTACATTAAAACATTATGTTTTTTCTCTATGGTAGATAACTAAATTTAAGCTACGACTTTAGTAGTTTATAGTCAACCCTAACAGAAACACATATCTAATTAAGTCTGCAGTTTCTCTACGTAGTTGATTCACACATTCATTGAAAAACACAACCGCAAACAAACTGCAAACGAACTATGTATGTCACCGTGCCCTGTGTGGACTATGATTCACTTAACTCGCTAAGGTAGTACGAACTTTTGGGTCAGTTATTTGACCATATTAACGCCATTGACCAACAATGTTACGAGTTTGGTGAATTTGAAGATAAAAAGTTTAACTTGGACGAGGGCCACAGTTATATTAT